AGTATTAAAATGTAACTTGCGTTTTTAACCGTTAGGCGTTTTAAATGATTATTAGGCTCTATTCAGTTTGAGAGCAGGTACAGCTAGAATAGCAGATTCGGCCTACAATTACCAAGTGTATTTTCACTTCCACTTCGGACAAACTCGCAGGCCTATCATGACCAAGGTAGGCGGAGGCCTAGCGCGTTTACTAGTGCTGGGTGTGTTTTTCCACGCTCTGTACGTGCTGAGCATCTTCGACATTTACTTCACGTCTCCTGTGGTGCCACACGTCGAGAGTGTGGTGTACACGGACTCCCCACCAGCCAAGCGCGTCGTGGTGTTCGTTGCCGACGGTTGTAGAGCAGACAAGTTTTTCGAGACCAACACTTCGACCAGCGCTCAAGAAGCCGGTGCAGAACTCCGCGTGTCTTTCCTACGTAACATGATGCAGACGCAGGGCAGCTGGGGCGTCTCACACACGCGTGTGCCAACTGAGAGCCGTCCTGGCCACGTGGCGCTCTTCGCCGGTATGTACGAGGACGTCAGCGCTGTGACGAAAGGCTGGGCTGACAACCCCGTGGACTTTGACTCCGTGTTCAACCAAAGCAGCTCCGCCTTCCTCTTCGGTAGTCCGGATATCGTCCCGATGTTCGCTCGTCATGTGCCACAAGCACTTGAAGAGCATTATTCCCATGAAGAAGAAGACTTTGCCAAAGGAGACGCGTCTGAATTGGACGTTTGGGTCTTCCGCCATTTCCAAAACCTACTACATGGTGCAAAAGAAGACGCAAAACTGCATACAAAGCTCCATAGTGACGGAGTGGTGATTTTTTGTCACTATTTGGGCATTGACTCCAATGGCCACGCCCATCGACCCAATTCCAAGGACTATTTGAACAATATTGCGCTCGTAGATGAGCTAGTCGAGAAGACCTATCGCATGGTCGAGGATTTCTACGACTACGATGGACGGACAGCCTACGTGTTCACTGCAGATCACGGTATGGGGCTGAAAGGAGCTCATGGAGACGGAGATCCAGCCAATACACGCACTCCGTTGGTAGTGTGGGGGGCAGGTGTCCAAGGACCCGTGACAGTGGAGAAGACAGGAGCGTTTAGTATCGATCTACCCACACAGTCTCGAGCGCAAGTTAAGGCTCAATTACAGGCACAGGAGGAACAGGAGCAAGCAGCAGTGGGAGACTGGGGCGCTCTCAATACTTTGGTGCGCAAAGACGTGATGCAGGCTGATGTGGCGCCGCTTATTAGTGCGCTATTAGGTCTACCGTATCCACGTAACTCAGTTGGAGTCCTGCCCTTCTCGTACCTCGCAAAGGGAGCCTACCGAGCCAATGCAGTGCGATCTAACGCACAGCAATTGTACCTGCATGCGCTGCGTAAAGAATTGGAGAAACGGTCACGTACATTGCTGCGATTTGTACCGTATGGTCCTTTTCGTGACCGAGTTCCCGAGCTCTTGACGCAACTAGCGGACGCGTATGAGAAGAGTTTTAAGAGTGAGAACTCGGAGTCGTATGAAGGCGTGGAACAGCTGAGTCAGGAGCTGATTGAGATCTGCTTGGCGACTTTGGAGTATTTCCAGCGATACGACTGGTTCTTCCTGCTTGGTATCGTCGTCCTGGGGTATTTGGGATGGATGCTTGTGGTTGGAGTGGCGTATCTGCATCCACGAGACTTCGGTATGAAGTGGCTGCTTGGTGCGGGTGGCCAACAGCTGGACATCAAGTTGGTCGTGCTGGTGTTTGCAGCGTTCGTGTACTTGGCTCTCGAGGGCTCACCGACGACGTACTACCTGTATCTGCTGTTTCCATTAGTTTTCGGAGTATTCACGTGGAATCATCGTGGTCTAATACAACAAGCCTGGGTGTCTGGGTCAAGTGGGAAGCAATCCAAGTCGCGCTTGAAACGATGGGCGGAGATCGCACTCATCTTGCTGTGCCTGGAGCTTGTGGTGGCTGGATACGAACGTCGAGAGATTTTCGGAGTGCTTTTCTCACTACTCGCGTGTTGGCCGTACGTTGGGAATGCTACAAGTGATGACGAGGCTAATGAGAGCAGAAGCGCAGTACCAAGTCGGTCTTGGACAGTCAGCTGTCTTGTCATCTCTGTGTTCCCGTACTTGCCTAGTGAGTATGGAGAGCATACGGCGTTAGTGAACATCGGCGGTCTGCTGACGTTGCTGCTCGCTGCGGTAGCACAACGAATGACATCCGCAGACCAGACGAGCTGGAAGAGCTCCTCTTTCGTCCTCAGTGCGTCGCCTTTGGTGCTGTCACTGTTGACTTTGAATGGCACTATGCAGTATCTGGACGGCGATCGAAGCAAGCCGCCATTATACCTCACTGTAGCCAACTGGCTGCTATCTAGCACTTCAATTCTACTGCTTCTAGTGAGATTACAACGACGCAAGAGCAGTCTATCGCGTGCCTTGGAAACCGGTACCGACCGTCATGCTGAACAACGTCTCCACGGACTGTATACTAGACGTCTTCTCGAAGTGATGCTAGCGTTTGCGCCGTCGTTCGTCTTACTGAGTATCGCGTACGAGGTTTTATTCTACGTGGCTCTCTGCGCTGTTCTCGTGAGCTGGTTACAACTGGAGGCTCAGGCTTCGCTAGCATCTTCATCTTCAATGTGGCGAGAGATTCAGCAAGCGTTTGTCTTTTTGCTACTGGTGAACATCGCGTTCTTCGGCACGGGTAACGTGGCCAGCATGAGCAGCTTTGAGATATCGTCTACGTACCGCTTCGTTACGGTGTTCGCTCCTTTCACGATGGGTGCGCTACTGGTGGGCAAGATCCTCATCCCGTTCATGCTGGTGGCCAGTACATTCCATCTCATTCTACTGCTTCCATCGGCTGCATCAGCAGTTGAGACCACCAAGCCTAGACTACCTGCTACACGCTACTTCCTTCTAGTTGTAGCCATGTCGGACGTACTTGCACTCCATTTTTTGTTCCTCGTCAAGAATGAAGGCAGCTGGAAGGAGATCGGCAACTCGATATCCATGTTTGGCATCGTGAACGCGCAGATCGTGTTCATCCCGCTGCTGTTTCTGCTGGCTCGAGCTTTCGTCCGAGATCTGACGCCAGCTACTGCATTCGATGTTCAACGTCTTAACGATAAAAAAAAACAATAGAATTTTTTGTTGCTGGCCTACCTAGACGGTGGAATGGCGTCTTCGACGAGCTTGAGCAAGGTATTGCTGTGAGTTGGCAGAGTAGGACTAACTCGTTTCGTAAAGACATGGGCTGTCCGTGAAGCACTACCGGGAGCATATACAATTAAAGAGAAGATACCGTAGGATATGTGACAACAGGTTATTAGAGACCATTCGCCACCAGCAGTATTTTACCCATACCCACAGTATTAAACAAAAACGCTGCACACTCTGCCCATCTGAGGATAGCGCTCTGCAGCCTGTAGAATGATTTCCTCACATCTAAATCGCCCACCTTTCCTGTTAAGCTATGCCACCCAGTGAGAAGCGTCGAAACTTCACGGGCGAAGAGGACCTTGCGCTGCTGCGCCAAGCAGCATTCGATCGGCCCTTTTTAAGTGAGCGTGGAGGGGTCATTGCTGCTTGGGACTCCGTGGCTGCTACACTTGTCGGCGACGCAGGCTTTCCAAGAGACAAGCTCTCAGGAAAGCATGCACAGGCACGCTTCGACAAGCTTATTCAGCGCAAGAGAGATGCGAACACGGTGGCGCTTGCCGCATCGGGGGTCGCAGAGGAAGAAACTGAAGCTGATACGATCCTCGACGAGCTCATCGAGCTTATCGATGATCGTGCAGCAGTGCAGAAGTCTCAAAAAGACGCAGCCAAGCGAAAGCGTGACGAAGACGAGGAAGCCTCCCGAAACGTCCGTCGCCTCACCATGCAGCGTCTTCGTGACGAGAGTACGACGCCACCACGAAAGCGCAAGGAGGAGGAAATGAGAGAGTTTGTACTCCAATTAAAGAAGCAGGAGATCGAAGCAATACAAGAGGAGCAGGAGACAAAAGCTGCTCAGCGCGCCGAAGAACGACAAAAGGACCGAGACTTTATGCTTGCATTGGCAGAGATGATTGGACAGCAGATCGCTGGAATTGTCAGCGCTAATCGTAGTTAGAACACGCAAATAAAACGGAAGGGTGGAAATTTGCTTTATGCTTTATAAGTATTCTGCCAATGTAGGGGGTACCAGTCCAAAATACTTACTGATCTGGTTCCCACCTTCATGGCAACAATGGCAATAGAGAACTTTCGGAGTCTGTTTTTCTTGCACGTTTCAGCTTCAGTTCGAGATAGACGCTGTTTAGGGGTTGTACGTCAACTCAAACGTGAGTAGGTTTGAGCTAGAAATCTTGGTCCTCAAGCCTACCCCCTCTTGATTTGAGTTGGGATGGATGGCGCCGACGGCATTCTAAGACGTTCACGATGTTTGTTGGACCAAAGCTAACGGCGGATCAAGCGATGGAGGTGCTGGAGCAAGTGTGGCGGCTTTCCCGCGCCAACGCGAAGCGGTTTTTAAGGATAATGAAGACACTGAAGAAATTACACTGTTTTCGGCTGCGTGACGCCGCTGCTGCTGTGGATTCGTCTCGTTGCTTTGATGAAATGATGGACAATGCCACAGCACGCCTTCGATATCGCTTTACCGTTGCTCAACTACATCATCTAGCTGCTTTGTTGGGGCTGCCACGCGATGGAGTGCGAACTGCTGCTGGAGACAACGTTTTGCGAGTCGAAGCGCTAGCTATGGTTTGTCGAAGGCTATCAGAGGCGCTAGTTATCCCGTTAGATACTACATCAAGCCGCTCTCGTTTAGTAATTTTGTTCTTCCGGCCGCTGCTGGTACCTAGCGGTGCGCGAGTGGATCGCTTGCTTGGTGTAGCAGTGCCAACAGTTGGAGACGAAGTTGCTGCGTCCGTAGCTTCGCCACTGTCCTCTCCACTACGACTACTGTCAAGAGCAAAATCTAGCTCTTCCTCTTCGTCGAGAGCGATCTCGCCCATAGCAAGACTACGCAAAAGCTCACCGGAGCGTTCTATACCTCGTTGCTTTGCCGTTTGCTCCTCTTTGCGCTGCGCCTCCTTATCTTCCCAGTCGTTCATCAGCGTGACGATATTCTGAAGCAGCACTTCCCGCCCGGCGTATTCCTCAGTAGTCCCTGACTTTCGCATCGACTGGCACTGGTCTGCCTTGTACTGATTAACCAAGTTTGTGAAGCGGGTGCGCATTGCGGTTCCAGGCTTCTTCAAGCCAAACGACTGCTCTAAACGACAATGGATAGCTATATCATCGAAGACTTTCATGATGCCTTTCGACGTTCCGACTGCAGCAGTCCAGGGACGGAAGGTGTTGACGGCCTTTAGCAGCACGATATCGTCCACAGCAGCAAACTTCTGGCGCAATGCTGGTCGTGCTAGCAGCTCCTCTCTCTCTTGCGTTTCTTTCTCTTCAGCAGCACAATCGGCAGCTCGCCTGGGCAGTCTTTGTGGCTCCTCTCGCTGGCTGGACGAAGACATCGTGAAGACGTGAGTGAGGTGTCTGAGCTAACTGAAAATGAAGCTGAAACCTGCTTGCCGCTTACCGAAAATAACATTTGAGCTTTCTCTCGAGATAGAAAAAAATGGCCTATCTGGAACTGAAACCTAACTCAAACGGGGTTCCGAAAGCTCTCTAATTGGTGAGCAGCATACTTACGGAGACATACTTACCTATAGGTCCCACCCGTAGTTTTAGTGACTTCTTGTAATCAATAAACGCCCAGTAGCTTTTCAAATGCGCGAACTTCCATTCCACCGATTCCCGCACGGAGCTCATTCTTGCATTAAAAATCTTTTCCAATGCCGATACACTTGCACCTTTGTAACCCGACACGATGTACTGTTGGATAGGATACGCTGGGTCGCCGTACAGCGCGTACCCTCTAAAGATGTCGTCTTGCGTCTCAAAAAACTTCGCCAGCTTACTTTCGTACAGCAGCGTAACGTCGTGGCGTTTGGGTCCCCAGAAATGAATAGCGAGGCCATCGGGAACGACAACACTTTGGTAAGTAAGACAATGAACCCTTTTGTGGCCCGAGTACACCTGTTTTTGCAGGTTCTCGCGGTGTCCACGCCGTGATGAAGGACGTGAAATCGCAATTTTGGTTCCGTCAATTAACCCAAAAACGTTGGGCATCGGCGCACTGCGAGCCTCAACAGCACTAGCATAGGTAGCGATACTGCGACGACACAAACTCTTATGGAAGTAGATCAGAGTGTTGTATCTATCATACAAGTACACAACTTTCCAAAAACAGCATTAGTATTAGTTTTACCATGCCAAACAAAGTAATGCATTCTCACGTACTCATATGAGAGAATATCCTGCTGATAGGGCCCTCTGCACGCCCAAACTTGCTGGATAGGTCCAGGTTTCGGCGTGGGTAGCTAAGGCGGTAAAGTAGAATGCAGAGTGCTTCTGTACAGTGGACCTTGTCTCGATTGCGTGTTACCACGTATTCAGGTAGGGCAAAATGAAGTGTGAGAGCGTAGATTGTAGCTCTGTCGAACCGAAAGTCGCTCTTGCAGTTGACGTCGGACTGAATATCGAGCTTGAACCTTATGGCTGGAATAAAAGGTCTCTCTGGCGGGACCCCTCTTGCGAGGTATAGAAGCTGAAGAGCGTCGACGTTGGTGGTGCTGAGGCTCAGAAGAAGAGCGTTTTCCATAGGAACTGGTTGGCTGTTCTTGGAGGATGATAAACTCTGAGGATGAGGGTGGAGAATGCTGCGAAAAGTAAAAAACGCTATGTCCACACAATAGTGCCGTGGCCTGTCTATATTTTACGGATAAGGATAAAGCTTTTCTGCGAAAGGTCTCTAATAGAGACCTTCAAGGATCCGTAGAAAACGGCAGTCAAACTCGTAACTTAAAAATTGGCAAATAGGAAAATTAAATAGGAGCCCCTAATCAGTATTCAATGTTGAAAAAACTGCAATCAACCTCGTACAAGATTTGCGCGACTGGTTCGCGCCCAAACGATAGGCTCTGCTCGACTCGCGCCAAAGCTACCTGCGTCTTGATGCTCTTTTAATTTCACGGCGAGCACACGTCGTTTCTCAATGTTGCTATCGCTATTACACGTTGTGGGCTTGACTCTCACTTGTTTTACGGTAAACAGCATGCCCTTCAGGTGCTGGACGTGTCCACCTTAATGCAACAGTCCAGAAACAATATTGTCCTCATAGTGTCCAGCGTGTAGGTACAGTTATCATTCAGGTACTCCTCCAGGAGGACCTTAGCTTCAGGCGTCATCTTGACGTGCTTCGCGCCTCCCCGAGGGAGATTGTCCACCAGTCGCGCAAATCTTGATTGCAGTTTTTTCAACTATTGAATACTGATTAGGGGCTCCTACCGTAACTTTCCTATTTGCCAAATTTTTAAGTTACACGTTTGACTCAATAACAGATTTCAAACAATTCGAGTAGAACTCACAATAATACAGAAGTATCCCTCGATAAGCATCGGGGCCGTGCGATACATTTTCATAGAAGAAATATGGCGATCTTTTGATTTGTCACATATACCTTTAATCTATGTGACCCGGTTGCAAGCTGAGCTTATTAAGGGGGACTTCTGTACTGTACGACGAAATCTTCGCTTACGTAATACCTTCTTTTAATCGTCATCATAATTATGATGACGAAAAAATGGTGCCGCTCATAATCGAATTTAATGATAAGACCACACTACTCCTGTATTATCTCGACTTCAAAGCTCAAATTCCTACCGTCATCACTGATATAGTACTCAGCAATGCAACTAGCCAACATCTCCTTTCTAGCCATTGACGTTGTATGCGCTATTACGACGACATCAGGTAAGTCCACATTAGAGACCTCTGGTGTAAATAGCGACGGCTCCAGAGCACTGTGGACCTACGACGCGAACAATAATGAGGTTCGCCAAGGCGAAGGTGAAGAACGCGTCGCCAGCTCCATAACTGCTCAACACTGGCTAAGCAAGTCTGTTGATAAAGGTACCAGAAGTTGGTACTTTCGCAGTAATTGGCAAAAAAAAAGAGACACCTGTTTGTATTGAACTCAGGCATTGGGTGTTTTGAACTGAGATTTGCCCGGTCCTATGTGCAAGTCGGCTCTGGGGTGG